AATCAAACGGACATACAAATGTGGATCCATTGTACGACACTTTTTTTTAAAAGCGAGAGAACGAGGGTTTTTCTTATTTTTTTAATATTGTTTTTATTTCAAACATATTTATACAGGATTAAAACATATCAGGTGGTTGTTAAAGCCTATTTTTCATATGGTCCTGTTCAAACTTATACAAGGGTCATAAAACCAATCGATACGAATATTTTATTTTTAAACTTTAATGGTTTAATAATCATCTATCAAATAGGAAACAAATCAATTGTATAAATAACACAATCTCAACCAAAATGTAAACATTGGCGTTCCTCAAGGCAGTGTACTTGGTCCTATTTTGATATTACTTTTTATAAATGACATTTCGCAATCTATTCCTTTCTCAAGCCGCAGCATTTTTGCTGACGATATTGTTGTTTATAAAGCGGGTAAAACTATTTATGAAGTTAATGCAGACCTTCAAAAAACGATGGATAGTGTTAAACAATGGTACTTCGATAACTATCTTGCCCTAAATTCAATCAAAAGCAAAGTAACGTTATGTAAATGTAATACAGTCTCACAAGAAGATAAACTGAAAATTAATATTAACAATAATCCACTAGAACAAGTCAAATGTATTCGTTATTTAGGTATCCAACTTGATAAAAATTTGTCATGGAATGATCACGTTCTTGAAATACACAAAAAATTAGGTTCACAAAAAATCACTATTAGATCAATTTTATAAAAGCACTATACAATCAACAACTGACTATGCACTATCTGTCTGGGGAATTACAACTGAAAAAAAAAATTAAAAAAAACATTATCAAATGAATTTAAAAAGATGTGCACGAATAATAGCTTGAAATTTTTGATTACATTAATTATAGGGGGTGGTTTAATAAGAAGCTTAAATTGGCAAAGCTTGGAAGAAAGGAGGGAGTATACCATTAACTGCCTAATGTATAAATGCGTACATAGGGCTGGCCCCGACGAGGCTAACGGATGATATTGAATTGATGATTGATTGACACACACATAACACCCTCAAAACTAATACATTAAATATTGTTTTTAAAACTAATTAAACTTGAAAAAATGTGCACGTCGTTTAAGGTTGCAGGTGCAAGATGCTGGAACTCACTCCCTCTTGAATTACAAAATGCCCCAAGTATTAATAATTTCAAATCGCGATTTAAATTAAAATTCTTTAATTCTAATTAATCACACATTCTTCGCAAGGTCTTTACATTGTTTTTGTAAATATTTTTATTACGTTTCCAGGACCATTTGCAAAACAGTGCATAAAACTCTGTAATTCTATATTGGATTATGCTACTGAAACGTATTCCTGGTAAAATATGTTGTAAAAAAAATAAAAAATAAAACAAATATTTCAATAAATGTTAAATTCGAATAAAAAAAATTGATGATAAAAGTGTGCTGACACTATTTTACACGATCGTATTTATGTCATCCAGAATTATGCTCACTCAATAGCAAGAATGAGTTTGTGTTAACTTGTCGTCATAGAAAGAAATATTTAACAGTGAACAATAAGCTTCAATAACATAATAAACAATCCGACTCCCTGATTAGCCATTTTAATTATAATCCCTAGATCGCACCAATAAACAATAGGCTTTGTAACATAGCAATTTAGTTTGACTTCCTGATTAGCCATTTAAGTTACAAACCCTGGGATATTGTGCCATTCATGTTTTACAATTCGCCTGATGAGTGTGGCCCTGTGTGGTCATATGAAACAGATTTGTAGCGATTAAAGATATGAAGTAACCAAGTTCATCTATTATTGTTTTATTTCTATTAAGCTCTATCTGAGATATCGAGCACTCTACGTCATAGATAATCTGGAATTGAGGCATGCCTCTAAAGTTTAGTTTTAGTGATAATCCGTGCAACACCACGGATTCAGTTGTTCAAATTAACTGTCAGCTTTCCGAAGGAGAAACCAAACTTCTATCCCGAGGACTCAAATTCTGCCCAAAACCGAGGCAGGCTGACCCACAACAACTATCTTTGGATCTGGAAGCTTTCTTCCGACGTTTAAGATGCCGTGAATTTTTCGCCGATTCCGACGGCAACACCACGGATAACACGGGCAATGTTATCAAACTCAAACCAAAAAGTACCTGGAATCCTCCTAAGGATCGTTGCCCAGCTTTAGAAACTTGCATTCAGGCCATTGAGGAGGACGTTAAAAACCACGCTCCTAGTGCAGATTTCCGCGACAATCTCACAAAAAATGAGAGGCAGGCCATTGCCAATTTGCGTCAGCGTGATAATATTATCATCAAACCAGCTGATAAAAGCTCTGCCACTGTCGTAATGGACATTAAATTCTATGAAGAGGAGTCCTTAAGACAACTAAACAATTCTCTTCACTATCGAAGGCTCACAGAAGACCCCACTCCGGAAATTTCTAATGAAGTGGAAAAATCTGTATTTAAGATAGTTAAAAAAGGTCCCATCGATCCCAAAATGGACCCCATCTGATCCAGGTCGATCCGGCACCAGGACGTTTCTATGTCCTACCCAAAATGCACAAAGCAGGCCATCCTGGCAGACCCATCATTTCGGGCAACGATACTGCTACAAAAAAAATCTCTGAATATGTGGATGATTTATTGAGACCATGTTGTTGCTCTCCCCTCGTACATTCAGGACTCCACGGACTTCATCCGTAAAATTAACCAAATTTCAAATTTACCTAATAATACTGTTCTGGCTACACCTGATGTTTCGTCATTATATACTAATATCCCTCATGAAGAAGGTGTTAATGCGTGCATTTCAAATTACAAACAAGTTCGGGGCAAAACCCCATCTAAATCACATCTACGTGAACTTATCATGCTGATTCTGACCAATAATAACTTTGTTTGCGGCGACGGTCATTACCTTCAAATTCATGGCACAGCGATGGGCACTAAAATGGCTCCATCTTTTGCTAACTTATTTATGGGACAATTTGAAGCCAATTTCCTGTCCCTACAGCCCAAGAAACCAGATGTTTGGTTTCGTTACATTGATGATATCTTCAGGATCTGGACCCATGGTGAAGATAGTTTGGATACGTTCCTATTGAACATTAATTCGGCTCATCCCACAATCAAATTCACTGCTAACAAATCCACAAGCAGTGTAGATTTTTTGGACATCACCGTGACCATGGAAAATGGTACACTCAAAACTGATCTCTTCCGTAAACCCACAGATAAGCATACCTGCCCCCTTGCAGCTGTTATCCCCCGCACTGTACAAAAAACATTCCGTACAGCCAAGCATTGCGCATGAGACGCATTTGTTCTTCGGATTTAGATTTTCAGAATCGCACAGAAGAGCTATCCGGACATCTCCGGAATAGAAATTATCATCGAGGACCCATCCAAAATGCTGTGAAAAAAAGCAAAGGACATACCTCGTGCTCAAACGTACAAACCACGTCAGCGATCGACCAGAGTGCCACTGGTCACTACCTATTACCCAGGTTACCACCACTAAGGGCTATAATTGAGAAACATATGCCCATTCTACAGAACACAGAACGTCTTAGGTCTGTTTTTCCGGATACACTGTTCATAGCCTATCGCAGACCACCTAACCTTCGTGATATATTAGTACGATCTAAATTCAAGAGGCAAATTAACTCTTGCCACAGCCATAATTTGGGTAGTCATCTTTGTGGTTCATCATGCAAAACATGCTCCTTGCTTGATTCTACACAATCATTCAGCAACCAAACAAACCACATATTTCGGATAATGCAATCAATTAATTGCCTCACCAAAAATGTCATTTATCTCATATATTGTAATATTTGTGGTAAACAATATGTCGGAGAAACAAAAAACACTCTCCGTATGAGAATGACACAACATAGATCAGCTATCAGAATATCTAAGCTTGATTAACCAGTAGCTGAACATTTCAATTTAGCTGGTCATTCAATTTCCAATTTCAGAGTAATTGCAATTGACCATAATGCCAATTGGAGCGACAAAAATCGCAAAGATAAAGAAAATCACTGGGAACTTTTACTTAAAATCACCACACCAGTTGGACTCAATATTAGGAACGTTCTTCCAGTACACTAAATTAAACCTTTGGCATTCCAATTTATTCTGGATAAATCATTTGTCTTATTTATTGAGGCATGCCTCTAAAGTTTAGTTTTGGCATTCCTGTTTACTTGTTTAAGCTGTTTATTTTAATCCCACCTAGCCTATTGTTTCTAATCATCACTTTATACTATCTGGCTTTTTCAACCCTCACTCACTCGCCACTGAGGAAGGATTAGTGTTGTCCGAAAGCTCTGGTTCTATTTCTGGCTGTTTATAATGAATGGTTTATTAACAATAAGCTTACTGTAAATACAAACAAGACAAAATACATGATGTTTAGTGGGAAAAATACAATTTTTGACTCTTCAAATATAGTGCTAAGGATTGGTGATGATATTCTTGAAAAAGTTACGCAGTTCTTGGGAGCCATCATAGATGAAAAGTTAAACTTCACAAGCCATGTAAATACAATTGCAAGTAAAGTATCTAAAATACAGGTGCTATGAATATTTTAAAAGCTTTTCTACCTTTTCAAGTACTTCTCATCATTTATAAATCACTCATACTGCCAACTCTCACTTATGGTTTATCAATATGGGGCTCGGGAAATAAAACTAATCTTAATAGAATTCATAGGCCTACTTCAAAGAAAGGACAACTCACACTGAGGAATAATAAATGATATTGCTTCTAGTATATTTACAACTCATAGCTGTTTTTTATTGTTGTCTTTCTATATTTTATTTATCGAAGTAAACGTGGAATCTTCTTCTTCTAATATATATATATGTATATTGCATTGTATATATAT